CTTGCATGTGTGGTAGTATATATGTGTTGACCCATTGCGTCTTATTGTTGTTACTTTGATATGTGATATTGTATGTGCTGAGACTTCAAGTAGTCTCCAAGGTTATTGATAACCCACAGTGAATTTGTTTACCCACTAAGACTTCGGGTAGTCTCCAGGGTTGCTGATAACATATACATGTTTATTTGTGTTGTGTTATGTGTGGTATTTTAGGGAACTCACTAAGCTTTGTGCTTACGATTTGTGGTTTAAATGTTTTCAGATTTTCTTATATTAAAGGAGGGGTACGGCTCAATTGTATCGCATCAGTGGGAGATTTGTGCACATGATAACATTTGACGATACTCTGATAAATGTTTTAAGATTAATGGTCATACCTAAGATTTTTGTAGTTGTTATTTGAATAAACACTTAATATTTTAATTTAAATTTTGCATAGATCCTCCCTCGAACATCCTAAGAATGCCCAAATCCTCAAATGCCCCTGAAACATTCACAAAAATGGTGAAAAGTAGATTAATCCTCGAAAATGTCACGAAAAAGCACAATGCATGAAAATTTATACTAGAATGCAATGTAATGCTATGAATAAACATGATATAGACATATGAAAAGGTGCAATTTATGCACTTGACATGTGGTACTCTAGACGATAGAGCTTATCTGTGACATCCCTAATTTCAAGGCTAGAAAAGATCAATTTGTTTATACTTTATTTAAAATCAGAGTATCCTTTTGAAGAATAATATTGCAGAATTTGTTCACAAAATATGATAAAGATATTATCAAAGCATTTATGAATAAATGTATTTTATTATAATAAAAACGTTAGGATTTCATCATTAATACAATACATAAGCATAAGTGAAAATAGGATAGGCCTTACAAACATCTATTATTCTACTGGCCTATAATCCATAAATCTCTCATATGTTCACCACATCTGTGCTCTTGTGCCACTACCTATAATATAAGAAACTGGTCGGGTCAAGCTTGGGAGTCTGATGATCACATAAGGAGCTATCTATCCGAAGTTCAAGATATAAAGTAACCATATAGATAATATCATGTTGTGTAGCCTAATATAAGAGGCATAGTGTGGGGTGAACTTGAATAACACCGTAATCATTTCGAGAAGTAATATAATCCTTATTTATGTTACATTATCCGATGTGTTAAGTTGCTATATGATTTTATTGTGTGGTGACTTGAATGACTATGAGACAATTCTCAGGACGAATGTGAGTATGTGTGAAAGGTAGTAGATGCCTATACTACTGGAAGCACATGACTCGCACTTAGATCAGGGAAAGTTATAATGTTACTAAGGCACTAGTAACTGAATTCATTTAGCTCTTTTTCATCGATACCTTTGTTTCAGTACTGACTAAGGAAAATAAATGTTATTCCGAACCTAGTGGTTATATTAAATCAAGTCCGAATATCATAAATCGGAAAAATAAATTACTTGATTCAAAGAACTATGTTCGATGTAGTGTCCAACTTTAGTTAATAGACTGAAGGAAAAGATAATCGAAGCGATCGATATAAGTATCGCATTCGTCAATAAAGACTAAGAAACCGGTAGCTAGAGTTGATACAATCTATAATGTGATTATATCACATTAGAATATGAAGGAATGTATCCTCCATGACAGAGTCTGACTCAAAGAAACCTAAGTCTAACCATTACATCATACGATGAAGGGTCAATAGAGAATGATCCATAAGTCTATTATGGTAGTCTAAGTAAAGACTTTATCTTAGGTTAAAGCCTACTCTAAAAGGAGTAGGAGTCTCCAATGAAGATCAAATTTAGATGAAAGAGCAAGTGTAGGATTGAGTATTGCCAACAGTTAAGAATTCCATGAATTAGAAACTTATTTGAAAGGACATAAGGGTTACGATTATCACCTACAATGGAAATGTGTAGAGTCATTATACAAGCTCTATTTTACTAATGATTATGGGATATAATCATCATAATGTGGAGATAATTGTAACGCCTGCATATTTAGGCTAGACAGATAAGCAATAAAATGACTATTGATAGAAGATTATTTAGGATAAATAATCTTAACCAAATTTATAGTATATGTGACAAGGATTCCATATATATAAATAACTCTGAAATCCGACTTTATATGAAGAAGTTATGCTTCTTCGAAGTTTCGCAATTAAACCGACACGACTATGCACGTCGTAAAAAGTGAATTTTAGATAGGTTGCTTATTAGCATAAGCAATCTAAACAAAAGTCATAGTAATCATAAAACTGAGAGCATACGTATAGAGAACATATAAAATTTGATTTCATATGAGGACGTTATGATTTTTTGAAGTTTCAATGCAGTTGCGTTAGCATAGAAATCGAAATTTGAATCGGTCGATTTTTAGCCAAAACAATCTAAAAGAGAGTCGAAGATCTCGTAAATAGGAGTTTGTCAGTATAAAGACAATCGAGATTGTATGTCGTATGAAAAAATGTACGAATTTTAAACGAATATTAAAAGTTTAAGCCTTCTAAAATAATAAATAAAAATTAAAATGAAAATTAGCGAATGGAGAGTCTAAATGAAAGTTGTAGATCTTTTCGATAGCTACACGTGAATATAAAGAACGTTGAAAATGGAGCTCGTATGAAGAAGATATGAATTTTTAAAATTTTATAAAAATTCATGCGCACCCACGCGCAATGACAGGAGGCGTGACGCGCGTCTGACATACCATCCAAACCTTGCCACGTTGCAGGCCAGGAATCTGCCTTGTCACGCTTTCCAACAGTAAGCATGGTGTGCCCAATCAATATGTACGCACTGCTTTTTCCTTTTATAAATAGTAGTCGAAATTCATTTGATTTCCACACCAAATCCAACTTTCTCCCTCGAGTTTCTTTCCATTTTAGCCCAAGATTTCTCTAGTTTTAAGTTTTTAGCAAAACTATGGAACCCCTGAGAGCCGACAAGTAGAAGCCCTCGAGTAGAAGTTTTGCCGGTACAATTTCCAAACTTTTATCTAGGAAATTTGTGTTAGTTAAACTACACTCAATATTACTTTTGGCGTAACTTACATTTATAGTCATAGTCTTTATTTTGAACCTATAAATAAGATTTATTAGTGATTCCAAGTCATTATACTGATTGACCTACTTATGGGGATGATGTCTAAGATGTATTTAGTGAGGTGTTTAAAGTGATATTTACAAACAATATACTTTGTATACCAAACAGACCCTACCTCCGATATGATCCTACCTGATTATTCTTTACTTGGTAGACCTTGATGTAGACATTATGAGTAGCGAGGAATCTAGACTATCATTAGTCACCAATAATATAAGACTAAGACTTAGTGATATTCGTACTTAGGTCAAATCAGATGAAAACTATTGTACTGAGGCGAATTTATGCCCATTTTCTGAAGGATCCACTTTTATCAAGTGAGTACATAATTACTTTCATCTTACACATAGATATGAAATGTTTTAGATAGTTAAAGTGTTGTATGTTCCCATTATCTGTGATTGAAACCTTTTATGTTAGATGAAATTATATGAACTGGTTTTTATTTAACCATATATGTATTTTTATACTTCTAATATATGGGGTAGTGAAAGGTAAAGAAAGATGGAAATAATGTTAAGAGGCCGAGACTTTTATAGTATTATCAGACTAGAAATTTAGTCAACTAGTAAGGTATTGATGATGACCATAAAATATTCTAGACAAGTTAGGTTAACACATCAGCAGGTACACAACTTGTAGTTGTTTATAAGTCAAACATGGACATACCTGTAACCTGTATATGTTTATAAGCTATACATGGGCAGGTTTACAACATGTAGGTGTTAATCGATCATATGTGGGCATGTTTACAACCTCTATATGTTAATGAAATTATTTCTGATTGAAACCTTTTATGTTAAATGAAATTATATGAACTAATTTTTATTTAACCATATATGTATTTTTATACTTCTAATATATGGGGTAGTGAAAGGTAAAGAGAGATGGAAATAATGTTAAGAGGCCGAGATTTTTATAGTACTACCAGACTAGAAATTTAGTCATCTGGTAAGGTATTGATGATGACCATAAAATATTCTAGACAAGTCAGGTCAACACATCAGCATGTATACAACTTGTAGCTGTTTATAAGTCAAACATGGACATACCTGTAACCTGTATATGTTTATAAGATGTACACGGGTAGGTTTACAGCATGTAGGTGTTAATCGATCATATGTGGGCATGTTTACAACCTCTATATGTTAATGAAGTGATTTCTGGAGAAGTCTACGAACTGTAGGCATTAATGAAACATATGCAAACATGCACACAACTTGTAAGTATTACTAAATTACACACGAGCAGTTCCCCGACCTGTAGATGTGAAGGAACCATATACGAATATGACTACGACTTGTAGGTATGAATAAATTATTCATGTGGGTATTCTGTTTACCTCATGGTTATCTTATTAGTATATATTGCTAAGGAATTCCCGAGCCAATAGTGTTCACTTAGAGATCTGTTAGAATAGATCCATTGAGATCATCAGTTGAGGATAGGGGAGTGAGAATAATGTGAATGGGTAAGGTAGATTGTTTGATGAGAATTATATAATTGTAAAAAATATAGTATTATGGGTTGAAAACCCTATGTACTCAACATGTTTTCCAACCCGACCCACTCAGTTTCTTCGCATCATAGGTAGAGTTACGAATGTATATGATGTTTGGATCCAATGAGAGATTTGAGGAAATACAAGCCATGGATATTGTAAGGCCGGTAATGATTACGTTTATGATTATGTTTCTTGTATAAATTATGACATCCCAAGTTTTAATAAATCAATGGAAAATATGTCTTCGAAAATACTTTTTATGTGACAAATTCTGCAATTATAAATAAGCTCTGTTTTAAAATAAGAATAAATAAAAACGTTTTTTTTTTCTGATCGTGAAAAATAAGGATGTCACATGGTAAGGAGGAAAAAACTATGTTGTGCGCCACTACTGTCGTTGAGGATGATGGTGGTGATGTTGCAAAAGATATGAATTTTGGAAGGGTGGGGTTGGCAATAGTTAGAGAAGGAGAGAAGACGGAGAAGATAAATGTGGTGGTTAGTGAGAGAGGCAGAGGTTGGTATGGAGAATGGAGAGGATGATTCGAAAGGCTGCTATGTTTAGGGTCAATAAGAAATTTCAACTAATTGTTTATATGAATGGTCCCTATAATATGTAACTTTTATAAAGTTTAGCTAGAGGGAAAAATGTCTTTGACCACATGTGCCTTAGAAATCATAGGGACATTCCATGTCAAAATTCAAAAGTTGGACTAAAAATACAGATTTGTTAATACCACAGGGACAAAAACTGTTATTTACTAAAAAAGAAAAAAAAAATGTATTCCGGGCTTTGCAAAAACCCGCTCCATATTTTCGTTCCTTTCAGCGTACGCATTAATTTGGCGCCTGCTGATCCTTTCAAATGCAATTCTTCCTTGCCCTTTAGCTTCGGCACCGTTTCACTCATCTGGGAAGTACAGTTCTTCGTCTGATCCCAAATTGGTCTTAGTCATGGAGCAGAGGCAGAGAAACCAGAAGATGGCTCACCAAGAAGACCAAGAACAACAGCAGGACGAACAATCAGAAGAAATGCAGCATGGCCCTTTCCCAGTCGAACAACTTCAGGCATGTCATCATCCATTTAATCCGATCTGTAGTTTCGTAACTTATTCTTGATCAAAATAGGGTTCTTGTAGTGGGTTGCTTTCAACTTCTTTAGTGGTGTGTTTCCCCAAAGTACTCTGCGAAAAAGAAGGGTTTACTTATCGGAATTACTAAATGGTTATTCGAATTTATTCCGATCCATTTTTTATCCTGTAAAAGACTGTCTTCTGTTTTATATCGAAACAGGGTTTTTATCCTTTTCTCTTATCTTTTGAAATATGATTCTTCTGATGCTAGGGCTTTGATTATATCTTGTGTTTCTTGACGGGTTTTTCAAGATTTACTCAAACTAGGGTTCTTGTAGTGGGTTTCTTTCAACTTTTTTAGTGGCGTGTTTCCCCCTAAAACACTCTTCGAAAAATAAGCGTTTGCTCATTGAAATTACTAAATGGGTATTTGAGTTTGTTCCGATCCCTTTTTATCCTGTATACAACTGTTTTTGTTTTATCTAGAAATAGGGTTTTTATCTTTTCTCTTTTCTTTTCACATATGATTCTTCTGATGCTAGGAATTTGATTATATCTTGTGTTTCTTGATGTTTTTTTTTTTTTCAAGATTTAGCTAAATTGGCCAATTCCCATTCCTGGGGATCCGATAAAGATCAAAACCCACAATAACATTTCGGGGGTTTTACTAATTTTGGCTAACAACCGATTTTGATAGTATTTTAGTCCTTAGAAGCTAACTTTAAACTTCAATTAAACCCTAAAGGCATCTGGAATCGCTGCCATTGATGTAAAGAAGCTGAAAGACGCTGGTTTATGTACAGTTGAATCTGTAGCATACTCTCCTCGGAAGGAGCTTCTGCAAATCAAAGGAATCAGTGAAGCTAAAGTTGACAAAATCATCGAGGCAGGTATGTCATGATGCTCATTTTGTTCTTGTGGTGTACTTTCCCTTTTCCTCTCCTTTCAATCTTTAGATTCCTACAATCTTGAAGCTTAAAAAATTCTTTCATTATGCATTTCTACAGCTTCCAAATTGGTCCCTTTGGGTTTCACTAGTGCAGGCCAACTCCATCAACAAAGGCTTGAAATAATCCAAATATCTTCAGGGTCAAGAGAGCTTGACAAGATTTTAGATGGTATATACCATTCAAACTTGTAATTTATCAAAAGAAGCAACATTGTTTAGAAAGTCTTTTTTTTCTTACTATGAAGCTATGCCTCTAAACATTGCATTATCTTTCTCGAACAGGAGGAATTGAGACTGGATCTATTACCGAGCTATATGGTGAATTTCGGTCTGGAAAGACTCAGCTTTGTCACACTTTATGTGTAACTTGCCAAGTATGAATGTATTTTTTTTTTTAAATTTCTTTTTCAGTAAACATGCTAACTTTTACAGTTTTACTTTTGAACTTTCAGCTTCCATTAGATCAAGGTGGTGGTGAGGGGAAAGCAATGTACATTGATGCTGAAGGTACATTCAGGCCACAAAGACTCTTACAGATAGCTGACAGGTTGTGCAAACTTCCCTCACTATCATTGTGTTTCCATTATCTTTTTTAACCCTTTTTAAGTCCTTAATGGGTAAAGTGGATGAATGGGTAATGATGTATGTCTGTATCAAGTGCTTAACCCATTAAGTCAAAAAGAAACATCCCTTTGGTTTCTTTACATCTATCTTATCATGCTGCATGTTGCAGGTTTGGGTTGAATGGTAATGATGTATTGGAGAATGTAGCATATGCAAGAGCATACAACACGGATCATCAATCAAGACTCTTGCTTGAAGCTGCTTCAATGATGGTCGAAACCAGGTTTTTTTTTTCATCAACAAATCTGTCTTGTATTCTTGTAAGATTATAATATTTAAAAAAGAAGAGTTTATAAATATATTTGTGTTTGAAGGTTTGCCCTTATGATAGTGGATAGTGCAACTGCTCTTTATAGAACTGATTTCTCTGGTAGAGGTGAACTATCAGCCAGACAGATGCATCTTGCAAAGTTCTTGAGGAGCCTTCAGAAGTTGGCAGATGAGGTAATAATATATATATTTTTTTTATCAAAATATAAATTATGTCTGGATGCTAACCTATTTGTTTATTAGTTTGGTGTAGCTGTAGTGATCACTAATCAAGTTGTGGCCCAAGTAGATGGTTCAGCCATGTTTGCAGGGCCTCAAATTAAACCAATTGGTGGTAATATCATGGCTCATGCCTCTACAACAAGGTATGTGATAATTGATAATTAACATGTTGTGATTAATGGAAGTTAACAAAGTTTGTTTTGTTGCTATTGATGGAGTGACAGGTTGGCTTTGAGGAAAGGAAGGGGGGAAGAACGGATTTGCAAAGTGATTAGTTCCCCGTGTTTAGCTGAAGCTGAAGCTAGGTTTCAGATTTCTACAGAAGGTGTTAATGATGTCAAAGATTGAATTTAGCCACAAGCTTTGTTTGTGTTTTTCTGTTTTCAGTTTGTATCTTTGTGTCATAAACAACACATGATGACAGTATGAAATACAAGTAGTCGAATACAAAATTTCCCATTCCATCTCTATATTTTTTGTTTGAGAACATGTTGTTAAGCTGGTTAATAAACCTATAGCAAGTTGTGTTATTTTGACAAAAACCAAAATGGTCTTGATAGATTTTTATTAGATATCAAAACAGATGTATCATCTAATCTAATAGACAAAGTCCATCACTACCAACCAAACTAAAGTTGTCTTAAAGTGTATTTAGATGTTAATGATTGCCTAAACCGTTTATTTAATATATGTTTATTGGTTATAAAACTTTGATAATTGATAATTAATCCCAATTTGTTTTGACCTACACTTAACAATTACTCATCTAATTCGTCCATTCAGCCCCTTTAATAATTTATATAGGTTATTATAATATCATGTTCTTGGAAGGTCTCAATCAAATACGAATCATAACAAATTTGCAATATTTTATGAGACAATGAAGAATGGCCCCAAACGCCTCCAATTTGTTTCAACAACACCGATTTTATATATATATATATATATATATATATATATATATATATATATATATATATATATATATATATATATATATATATTTATTTACAGAGAGACAAAGACGCACATCCACATCCATGCCCCATCCCATTTCAGCGACAGGCTGGCTGTGTATATACTATATAAGAAACCAACTTCAATCCTCTATTTCTCTCTCATTATATATCTCCACTCCCAAAACCCTCTGTTTTAGCTGGGTTTCAGATAGATAGAAAATCAATGGCGAAAGGTGGAAAGTTAACCAAGATCAAATCGGTGCTAAAAAAGTGGCATTCATTTGGGAACGGGAAGCCAGCTGGTCTGACGAAGTCCAATTCCGATGAGGATGACTACCTGCAGGAGAATTTGAGCCATTCGAATTCTCATGCTGTCTATGTAGGCAAATCACGGCGGCGCTACCTTATAAGCTCCGATGTGGCCCAACACCCGTTGTTCCAAGAGCTTGTGGAACGTTCAGGTTCAGGCGATGGGGATACCAATGTGACGATTGAGTGCGAGGTTGTGTTGTTTGAGCATCTGTTGTGGATGATCGAGAATGCAGATCCTCAACCCGACGCTTTGCATGAGCTTGTGGATTTTTACGCTTGCTGATAAATCGATGCTTTAATTTTATATTTTTTATTTTATCTTCTTTGTTGATTCTTGGCAATTTGTACTTGAATTCATGTCCGACTATTTATTTTGTTTTTCGACAACAAGCAAAGCAATCCACAAATTCTTAATCGGTTATAACGTTTCATCTGTGGTATCCACTATCGCAAAATCTTTTTCCAAAATTTCCAAATGCTAAAGATTTTTAGCAAGTTAATTCCAGTTTAACATAAATAACAATAAATCTAACATTTGTTATTATTTATAAACATGCAGTATATTGATAAATTCTTATTAGTTTTTTACTAACAGTTTCACAAATAACTTTTCAAACATGCCCAAAGGCAAAAATACTTGTGTTTTCTCATAATTTTATTGATCATTTAAACTTATTTGTTTATTTTTATTGACTGTTATATATATATATATATATATATATATATATATATATATATATATATATATATATATATATATATATATATATATATGGTTAATAATTCAATATACTTTTTATGTTTAATACATCTAACCCTTCATTTTTCACTATTAATTATATTTTAGTTTTAAATATTTTTATTTATTTACTAATTAATTATTTTTATTGAGTATTTAATGACAATTTATTTATAGAATATTATTTTATATTGATTATATAACATTTTCAATTTTTTTATAACTGAAATAAAGACCTGACATATTGTATTTATATTTTTGTTTGTTTATGACATTTAATGTATGTTTAAAAATGAATAATTAAAAAAAAATGTTTTACAGACATTTTAAAGAGATGATTATAGATTAATTATATTAGAAAAAAAAATCATTGAAAGATGCAAATAGTTAGAGAAAAATTATTTAACCAATTGGTTAAGATTAATAAAATTATGAGTTTAAACTATCCAATAGCTCCGATGTTCTTTTTTTCCTATTTTATCAAAACCTCAACGTCTGTCACTATCATTTTACAAGAAAGAATGTATCTACTATCTAGCATGCTTTCGTACGACGTCGTTAATATTGAATGGGACAGGTCTCACCAAAATTGGATAAAAAATAAAGTGCTAAAGAAAAAATAAAGACAATTAATTGGTAAAAGAAGGGTGGGGAAATGATTGGAGGTTGGTTGGATGCTTTTGTTTAATTAATCAAGGTCTATGTACCAAACAGCAGAAGGAGACCCCTTTTAACACTTAACACCATATTTTAGAATATATTTATTTATTTGAAAAAATATAAAAGCAAGCATGGAAGAAACTATAATTATATAATGGAAGATACGTATAAAGAAACGCGTTTTCAGCTGCTCTCGCTCTATCATTTATTTAAACGGAAACCTATATGTGATTATAAAATTGTCCTAAGGGTAGTTTTGGAAACATGATGAATGTAAAGAACAAAACAATGCAACCCCTCCATAGCTAAGTTGAACAAAAACGATGACAAAAGGTCACTCTGTCTAAGACCCCTATGAAGCTGGAACTCTTTTATCGGATTCCCATTCAAGAAAATTGAAGATCTAACGAAGAAAGGCAATGCTACGACCCACGGTTTCTTGACCCAGTTAACAATGGGTTCAAAGCTATAAGTAAATATGTTTATAGAGATGGTTCTCTTTACAACCAAAAGTTCAAATATCATCATCAACAAAACATTATTGATAATCATTTTTTAAAATGTTAGACAAATGATCAAAATCGTAAGAATCGCAAACGAAAGGTAAATAAAAACAAAAAGCATTGAATCTGAATAATGGATTTGGGAAGTTTGCCATAACACTCGGTTTTTCAAGATTTTATTTATTTATTTTCATGTATTACCGATGATGACAAAAGTCACTATATTGAAAGTTAGGTTGTTTTCACAATGGTTTATTTAAACCTCTGATTGGTCCATGGAACTTTCGAGTAGTAAGTTGTTCATATCATATACTAACTTCAACTGTCATTATACGAACGTACATATATGTTTGAGTTTAAATAAAATGTCATATTAAAGTACACATCCTTTACCAAATTAGAATGAATGCAAATTTGTAATTTCGTATGGTTTGGAGGTATTTTCCAAAAATAAGAAAACAAAGACATATGTCATGTGATGTGAGGCCCATTCTCGTGTGTCAACAATCAACACAATACTAGGAGGAATGTTTCAACTTTCAAGTGTGGGCAAGGGGAAGGAATGTGGTGGACATGTCATGTTGCATAATTCCATTTTATTTTAAACTGAAAAATAATGGATTTGAACTAATGTTCTTGATCAAGGGTTAAATACATAGAACTGTATCTGTTTAGGCAGTTTAGCTAAAAAGATTATGTTGATATATGTGGAATCGTTTAAATGCAAATGTTTACAATCTTCTAAATTGTTGCGTGAATTTTATTATTATTATTATTATTATTATTATTATTATTATATTTGATATAAAATATCTATAAAATTTGAAATATTGACAGATCAAATAAACTTGAATGCAATATGTTTTAGAAATTCTTCATTTTAACGTCAGAGTCAATCCAAATTTGAATTACTGGTCAATCGTCATGGACACACGTTTAAAACTTTGGTTTGGGCTATGAGCTTTCAATACGTTAGTTTAAAATGAATGATGATACAGAAAGAAGCCCATCTTTCTATGATTAGCAAAATTGAAAATCTAAGAGACCAAGTCCAAAGACCAAAGGTATTAACAAAAACGAAATTACAAAAATAAAAAATAAACCCATTAGGAAGAAAGTTCAAATTTCATACCTATGTTTTTGAGTCCATGGTTCAGAATTGTTTTTTAATCGATTATAAAGCGGTTTACATATGATCCCTAAATCTTTGAAAAAATCATGGATGTAATTTAAGCATCCTAAAAATCTTTGAAGTTGTTTTTTATCTTTAATTTCATCAGGAAATTTAGTAGAAAATTGCAAGCTTCTTGTTATAGGTCTAATAGTGTTTTTGACAATATCATGTCCTAAAAAACGAATTTCATTTTTAAATAAATGCATTTTTGTTGCAGAGACAGCTAAACCATTTTGATAAATTAAATCATGAAATTGATTTAAATGTTTAAAATGTTGATCAATTGATTTTGAAAAAATTAGGACATCGTCGATATAGGCAATAGCAAAACTACTTATAGGAGTTATGATATCATTCATAATATTTTGGAATTCAGAAGGAGCATTTTTTAATCCAAAAGGCATTACATTCCATTCAAAATGCCCAAAGGAAACATTAAAACCAGTTTTGTATTTATCTTCCTCATGAAGTTGTATTTGCCAAAATCCTGATTTCATATCAAACTTTGAAAATATTTTTGAATCATAAAGCCTTTTTAGCAAATTTCGTTTATTAGGAATAGGATAACGAATCCATTCTAAAACTTTGTTTAAAGGTTTATAATTGATAACTAATCTTGGTGATCCTCTTTCTAATTCTGCAGCATTCATAACATAAAATGCTGAACAAGACCATGGTGACTTAGAAGGTCTTATGAGTTTTTTATTTATTAAATCTTGAATTTCATTTTTACAATGACTTTCTAATTCATTATTCATGTGAATGGCTCTAGATTTTGAAGGAATATCCTTTTCATTAAAATTTTTTATATATGGTAGTTTTACAATATGTTGCTTTCTATTCCAAAAAGTATTAGGAATATTAGAACAAACATTTTTTTCAAATTTTAATTTTAATCCGGTTATTTTATTTTGAATATTATTATCACTTAATTGTAAAGAGTCTTATTGGAAAGAACGTTTTATTGCTGGCCTTCCAAAACTCTTTGCGGAAAGAGTTCGACAAAAATTAAGAGAAAATTTTAATAATACCATTCCTTATCAAAATCTAACTTATGGAGATTTAATAAACTATATTAATAAAGAGGGATTAGCAGTTTGTGCTGATCTTAGGTTTAAAGAAAAACTCAAAAAAGATAGAATAAACAGTTAAAATGAATTGGGAAATTTTTGCCAACATTATAAAGAGAGGCTATCCTTTAGTTGAAGACACAAGAAAAAATTCATTCTCTAAAAAATGTTCATTCCATATCTAAAAAATCTCCAAGAGTCTCTCTTTCTACTAGTAGATGTTCAAAGTCTTTAGATTTTCAAATAATTCTTTCTCCAGAAGTATGTACTGATTGTAATTCAAGCCTAATTCAAGAAGGTATTATTTAAAATATTCTATCGTTGTGTTATTTTTATGATAATTTCATTTCGAGTTATTCTAACTATTAATTCTACAAGATTTGAAATTTTTGTTAAAATAGTACTCGTTTTTAATAATCAAATTAATCAAATTCATGGTTAAATCATTTAATTATGTCTAGCAAAATCTTGATGAATTGTATTCCTAATAGAAATATTCTTTTAAAAATACAGCAAATCCAAGAATCTATTAATAACTCTGAGCAAAATCTTAAAGATTCTTATAAACTTAATAATCAAGGCACAATTTTAAACAATAATCATATATATATATATATATATATATATATATATATATATATATATATATATATATATATATATATATATATATATATATATATAGGGTTAAGTTCAAATGAGAACACTATTTAGTGTGAGAACGTGAAAACACTACTTTATGTTAGTATTCTACTATGAATTTGGTATATACAACGATATGACATTATTCATCAACAAATATTCGAACAATCACACATTAATATTCACATTAAAATTTTGTATGTACAACTTTATGACATTATTCATCACCGAATATATGAACAATCACATATTTAACATTCACATTAGAATTTACTAAATTACTACATATATATATATATATATATATATATATATATATATATATATATATATATATATATATAAATTTTATAGTAGAATAGCAATATAAAATTAAATATATTCATATTATAATTACTACAATAATATACATATTAAATTCATAGTAGAATAGTAACATAAAATAGTGTTATCACGTTCTCACATTAAATAGTGTTCTCATTTGAACCTAACCCTATATATATATATATATATATATATATATATATATATATATATATATATATATAGAGAGAGAGAGAGAGAGAGAGAGAGAGAGTTAGGTTCATATATAATCCATAATTATTGTGTAAATATATGACCAAATTTTAACCATTAGATTAAAAGAATGAAATGTTGTGATTTTAGGGTACATCTTATTTACATGGACTTGCATATACTATATAATTACATTTAATAAGGATAACATATAAATTTTATTAATTAAATTAATTATTTATAAATTTAAATTCGTGTAATTAATTATCGCCATCCATTTTACCCTATACGTTCAAAGAAGTAGCAGTCATCATCTTCTCCAAACATACACCATCGCAGCCGGCCACAACCCTCGCCATCAACAAACAACAGATCTATATCACCACTAGTTAACGTCGTCGACATTCATCTATCTTCTCACATTGACATCATCCAACACCATTCTGAGCATCGTCACTGGGAGATCATCCGCATGTTTTATTTAATCACAGTTACCAAGAGATCATCGTCCTTTTTTAAAATCAAAAACCAGAATATCATATCCATCTCTTTTTCTTTTATTGTAATGATTTTGAGTTTGTCCAGGTCCTCCTTAGTATATATATATATATATATATATATATATATATATATATATATATATATATATATATATATATATTTCAATCATGTACTGAATAAAACTCAACCAAGATTTTGTCTAAATAATTGTGTTTACACTATGTTGAAAGAAGATAAAACAATGCGCAAACATGTAACCGTTTTATTTTTAAAGAATACATATTAAAACTCAATTCTTTAAGAATAGAGATTAAAAACTCACATTCTAACCATTTTATTCTTGAAGAACATGCTTACATGTAATTCTAGTCATTCTTAAAGAATTCAAATTAAAAACCTAATCACCGTATTCTCATTTTCAACTATTTATACTTAGTCAGTACATTTAAAATTCTTTAAATTTTTTTGTAGAATTCATAAGTAAATTCTTTAAGAACGCAAATTAGAAACTCACTTTCAACTATTCCATTCTTAAAGAATGTGACTACTACTTATAAAGCATTCGTCGTATTCTCAAAAAATATAAATCAAAAACCTTTTTTCAGTTACGTTTATGGTCACTGATAACCAAATATGCATCCATAATTATTTATTAACAGAAACTAGCCTTTTTATTCTTAAATAATAAAACTATTGATAACTTAATTAGTGTATTCTTAAATAATACAAACAAATAAGCCATTTTTTTTTGTCACGTATATACAACTACTCAACATTTTTGTTTATGAAATTCTTTATTAATTTTGATGGTGGAAAAAAGGATTTAATAAGAATAGATGTTATGAAACGAAATTACTGAATACTAGTAATTTCTTAAATTGTTGTTGAATAAAGTGTAAAATTTAGCCTTATAAAATATTTAAAAATAGAAAACAATTAATTTTTTGCTTATTAATTAGCATTATGCCAGTATAAATTTATTCTTTAAAAATGAGAATCATAAAAATATAAATTTACACCCGTAAAATTTAAAAATAAAAAAAGTTAACTTTTCAATTTTGATTTTTATTAATTAATTTAACTTTGTTGCCTAAAATATAGGTAATTTTTATTTCTCTCTCATAATAAAATATTATAAATGCTCTTATAATTATTTTCATGTAATTATAAAGTAAACGCTAGCCCGTGTTAAAAACATGTACCTAAGATCATAACTCTACATTCTTTTTAATCTAATGGTCATAATTTGGTCATACATTCACACAATACTTATGATTCAAATTTGATCCTAACCCTCTCTCTCTCTCTCTCTCTATATATATATATATATATATATATATATATATATATATATATATATATATATATATATATATATATATATATATATAATATATATATATATATAGAATAGAACCCACAACTTTCTAAATTTTTTTCCTTTATTTTATAGGTTAACTTCTGATAAATGATTAAAATATTTTTTTGGGGAAGTTATATATATATATATATATATATATATATATATATATATATATATATATATATATATATATATATATATATATATATATATATTCAAATGAGAACATTTTTTAGAATGAGAAAAATTGAGAACAAATTTAAACCATTCATTTATGTTTTCTATACCATACCCACCCCGTCTGTTTCTCTAGTCTTTCTCTTCACATCAGACCACCATTGAGACCACCAGACTTCCGCCGAATCACATGACCTCCACCGAACTACCGTCGGATTCTCATAACCACCGGACCACCTACACTCTTCTCCGATTTTCTTGTCTGCACCTCCCTCCGCTTCACTCATCCCTTCACCGGAAACCACTTTCTTCTACTTTCATAGACCTCATTTCCTCCATAATCTCCAAACTTTCCCATCCTCATATTCTAGTTTCTCCTCTCATAATTGCCATTTCTTCGTTGGAAGACGATCCCCTCGCCAAACAAACGAAAGGTATGTCATTGATCGTATCTTTCCTATAAATCTGTATTCAGTAATTGTTACGGTATCTGCATCTATCCTTCTACGATCGATTCAAATTTCTGATTACGATTAGGCTGTTATCAGAAAATTATGGGCTGAGAGACGCCTAATTTCAAAAAATGGAATATACCATGTCCTGTTTACATAAACTCGAAGAATACTATAGCCAAAGGTAGACGACTCTGCGCAACAAAAGCATGCGGAAACCCTATTACTGTAGAAATCGGTGATTGCTGCAGCCACCTGAAAATTCCTTTTGCTGTTGAGGTTTTTTCGATTTCACTTTGAATTTTCTTTTACACGAAGCTATGATTATACTTTTGATATCGAATAGCTTAATTTCAACTTTAAGGTGGACTAGATTTTCATGTTTTAAGAATGATTGATTGGAATGTTGACGCTTTATTTATGATACCAACAAGTAGAAATAATGTATACAGTTAGTGTTGATTTGGTATCAATATCCTTTCAAGTTACAACTTGAATGAAAGACCTAAACATGGATCAGTTGATTATCTATCTGTGTTCATCTGAAGATTAGTAATTTGTTAACAAAAACAGCAACATATCAACATAATGTAGCACTTGTCAAGCATAAGCAACTCTTTTGTTAACTTAAATGTGTAATTTAGGGTTCTAATTCACATTCATTTTTATAAAGCTTGATAAGGCATATCCAAGGGACTTCATGCAAGTAGGAAGGGTGAGGTTCATTCTGAAATGGTCGGATGGAAGTTTATACGACCAAGCTATCTCATCTAGTAAGCATTGATTTCTCTTAAATTCTGACTTTTATTCCAATTTGTTTATGTTTTTTGATTCTGTTGTATGATCATGTGGCTAATGAATGTAAATTTTGTGCATCACCCAGTATAAATATGGAAATAGGAACACTAAAATTTTAACATCATAAGAAAATAACCACATTATAAGCAAAAGTAGTCTCTCTTGTTTTCAGAATTTTCATTTAACATGAATAGTATTAAGAAAACATAAGAAAATTATAAGTCTATAACAAAGATAAACTTAGGGGTGTTTATTTTTGAGTTAATGGGCTTAATGAGTTAAGCACTTAATCTAGACAACTATAAATAACTGTTTCTTTTTACTTAATCTGGACATAATGAATTAATAGGTTAAGCCAGAAAACTTGGTTTAATGTATTAAGACATTAACCAATATTGATGAATATTTTTTTTGGAGTGTAAGGGTAAAATGGTAATTTAGACCATAGATGTTAATGTTAATTACGAATTTTGAATTGCAGAAAAATACCTGATGCTTCATGTTGCTGAATTGGTTCCAAGACACCCTAGTAGGGTAAAGAAACAAGTTCCTGCTGCCACCTCAACCACCGGACCTTCTAAATCTAGAAAAGGTGGCAACTACTGAATCGAAAATGCAAAAATGAATATTATTTATATCATATGTGATTAAATACATATAATCACATGTGATTATATATATATATATATATATATATATATATATATATATATATATATATATATATATTCGTGTTCTCGACTCATTAGTTGTTTTTGTGTATCTAATCACATATGATTTAAAGGTCACCCAACTTTTTTTTGTACATTAAGGGAATTAACTCTCGTTTTCCTATTTTAAAACATCCTTATATGACCTAATACCGGATAAGCCTGTAAAATCTATGCCTTGACCATTGTTTGACCATAACCTGCACCTCCATTGAAATATCCTAACTGTAATTCATGAACAGCAAATTTGTGGTTAACCAGATTGTTAGATTTCTCAAAAACGTAAATGGTGATGTTATATACAAGCAAATTAGGGGATATTTTATCTTTTTCCATTACCGAGAAAACTTGTAACACTTTTCTCCAATGGCCAGCCCAAGAACCCTTTTTTACCTCGGATCCAGGCTAGAAATATGTAGCCGCTTTGAGCCTTTAGTTCGTGATTGTCTCCCATATGGGTTCACCTAGCCACCATTTGGGTTCATGGCTTGCAATTGTGAAAGTATCACCTGAAATTGGATCAATGAATTTGTTGTTTATGATTCCGTGATAAGCAGGATATAATCCGATGGCGATTGAGTAGTGATTTGGGAAAGTTAACGTTGGGTAAACTGGAATCAATCCAGTTTCAGCTTCGGTTCTGTTTTTAACTTAGTCGTTGGATGTGGGTGTTGGGGTTTTAAATTGGTACCCAAATCGGAACCCATCTGAGGAAATAAGGATGACGACTGGGTGAATGAATTTACTGAATGGACGGGCGATTTGGAGAGTGATGGTGCTGTGGTGGTGGTTGGTGGATGTAACAGAGGAGAAGAAGAGGAAGGCGAAAGCGAAGGCGGCGGAGAGAGCGACACAGGTGGTGAGGAGGAGGGCGATGGTAGAGTGTTTTTTTTAGAAATGGTGGCGATGTCTGTGTTGAATGATAGAAGTGAAGTAGATTGATTTAGTGTGTTTTCTTCTCCGACCGACATAAGTGAGGGTTTGATGGCATCTAATCCTATTTCAGATAGAAAATTCCACACATACAAGAACAATTAAGGAAAATTCTTGATGAGGTTTTGAAATTGTGGGATTCTGTCACATATTCCTTTTTTAAATGGTTAATTGATCAAAAGATTTGGCTACAATGAGACTAAAACCTATTATAGTGGGTTAAGTGACTTTTTAAACAGGTTAAAAGAGAGTTTATTCCCTTCATGTACAAAAAAGTTGTGTGTCCTTTTAAAACAAACACAATAAGTTCGATGGGCTAATATGATATTTGCCCTAAAGTTAATTTTGATATTTTCTTGAAATTTAACACTTACAACTTTGTGAACTCTTGCAAATGCTTTGTCCCAACCAATATTTCACCTTCCAAATTCAAGCATAGTAATACACTGTTCAAACATATCAAATTTATCAATATAGATCTAAATTTTAAAAAAATAAAATTTACTTTATATTATCTAACTTACGCTTAGGTGATCCTGATAAGAACATTCGAACTGTAACTCACCCAAGCCTAGTGAACAGAGACTCATGGATCAAAAAACCATGAATAAGAAAAAAATTAAATATCTTAATTATGATTAGTTTCATGTAACTAGAAGATAGGTGACCTATTATTCCATTTCAATTTTCGTATCAGAAGACAAAAGAATCCTCATTATATAAAAGTAAATTATTCAATTATGTATGCTTACAACAAATAAATTATATAACGACATAAATAAGAATATAAATACCATTTAGGCATACCAATTTATTTTCTTAGGTCTGAAAAATGACACAAATTATTCAGCAGATGAAGAAATATAAATCTACGATTTAAAGGTTAAATTACGGGAGTAACAAACATTTGATGTTGATTTAGCAATAACCGATATGGATTTTGATTTTGAATCAAACTACCAAAAGGATCGGTAGGACGAAATGGATTCATTCTATTTAAATTCAAGTAAAAAGGTGGTGGGGACTCGTGAGTATGCTGGGCGTACATTTGGTACGCACAGAGTACTCCTTGCATGCGGTTCATTTGGTGATCCTCAACATACGCTGGACGTACCCATGTGTACGCTAGGCGTAATCAAGCCAAGGGAAAAACCTAATTTTTAGGGTTTGCACCCTATTTAAATACCTTAAGTCCCCCAAGTCCTTTACCCTATCAGCCTCCACTACCCTTTTAGTGTCAATCTCGAACCCTAGCCTTCTTGAGCGCATCTTTGAACTTACCTTGAGTGTTTTGGTGTTCTTTGGTGGGTTTGAAGAAGAAGGAGGTTTAGGAAGAAGAAAAGGAGAAGAAGGAGCATGTAGATCCAGAGTTTGTGCACTATTTCTAGGCTATTGAAGGTATAAAGTTTGAACCTTGATCATTACAAGCTCAAATCTATGTTTAGGGTAGAATATGGCATCTTTTGGTCCCATGCCTTGGTTTCTTGGAGTATGATCAATTGCAGGATATTTGAGCTGTCCTTTTGGACTCTTGGAAGTGTGAGGAGTCATAAAAATAGTATCTTGGAAGCTAAGACTCAACCATGCATGTGTTAGTGACCAACTAAGTGAGTTTATAGGCTTAATTCATAGTTTGAGCCCCAAAAAGGCATGCAAAAGCATAAAGTTTGCGACTTTATGGCTTAAGACGTTATTTTGAGCTTGGATCTAAGTTTTGGACATTAGGGCTTAAGGGATTAAGTCATGGGAGAATTTTTGGCCAACTGACCAGTATGCTGGTGTACTTTAGAGTGCGTTGGGCGTACTTTAGAGTATGCTGGGCGTACTCTAGAGTACGCTGCACGTACTTGGTTGATGGCCCGATTCCGGATGGTCATTAGCGTACGCTGGGCGTATGAGTCGTGTAAGCCAAGCGTATGCAGTTTGTGGGCTTAGATGATTTTTGGGCTCGATTAGTGTTAGGCTTTTGAACTTTTTTAGGTTGGGCTTCAGACCCACTAGTAGTAACAGGACATTTTTGGGCCTAAGGCCATGTTAGGTGTTCTTGGGCCATATTGGGCATTAGAGATTATAGTTGGGCTTGGATGCCTTTTTGTACTTTATACAGATTTAAGCCTTGGAGGGAGGGAAGCCCAATGAAGTAAGGGTAAAGAATCCCTTTTCGCCTTAAGTCAAGAATTAGGGTTTGGACCTTCGAGTTAGAATGTGACCTAATTTCTAATTCGGGTTTTATGCTTGTGCATTAGAAAGACGGTTTCGCGAGTCATCCGTTGAGTGCGATTTGATGTCTTTAGTCTGAGGCGAGTCTTCCTTCGCAGTATCTACGGGTTGAAGGCACTAATGCTGACCCACTAGTTTATGATGTAGTGTGATGATTGTCTTTGTGACAATTTTCAGTTATGATTGTATTTTCTTGATGACTCTGTGATTCCTGTTATGATATTATATGGTAGTAGTAGGGGTGAAATAGACCCGATATCTAGTTGAAATAGACCAAAGGGGATTGCAAGCACCCAGATATGCTTGATAGTATCCGATTGAAATAGACCAAAGGGGTAGGCAAGCACCCAAATACGCTTGATAGTATCCGGTTGAAATAGACTAAAGGGGTATGCAAACACCCATATATGCTTGGCAATATGTTTGTTTAGTACGTGGTATTTTGGGGAACTCACTAACTTTATGCTTACAGTTTCAGTTTATGTTTCAGGTACTTCCAATTCGAAGAGGAAGGGTCCGGCCTGATCGCACCGCATCACCTATGGTTTCTGCATTTAGAGATTTTGGGAATTTGTACTCTGATAATATGTTACTATGATACTCTTTTGACTATTTTGATATTAGTGTTTTATGATTTGAATGAAGTTAAAACAAAAAATTTATTCGTATTTTTGGGATGTTACATGAAGCATAACCGTTGAAGTTAGTAGAGGTGAGAGCATGTACGAATGCATCTTCTTTGCATATTGAAATGGTGAACGGAATAGAGATGAAGATAAAAAATCGAACAACCTTCCCATCAATAAATTACATCTCTGCTTTTTTAGGGTTAGGTTCACGAAGACTTGCAAGCAGGCGGTGTCGACAAAAAACAATAATGAAAAAGGGGGTGGCAAAAACAAAGAGAAAGAAAAGAAGCATCATCATTCTCCTCAAATTGAAAATAAATGCATTACATTCGCCTCAAATTGCAATTTGAAATATGAGGCTAAAATTAGAAATTAGTAAATTAGTCATAAATTTATGCATAAATTGACTAGATATCTAGAGAAACCATTTAGAGAAATTAAAAGAGATAAATATATGGGTTGAGCGGGAAAACAAAACAAAGGAAGCATAATAAAAGGGCATGTGTCAAATATAGGGTTTAAAAAAATATCATATGGTAATTCAAGTTTTATTTATTAGAAAAAGGCCACAAAGTTATTATAGGAGTTCAAAATAAATAGAACATTGCATTAGATCTTGATAAAAAAAATATATAACAATTAATCTGTTATATGACTCACACTTGACGAAATTACATTACAAAATGATTAAAACCAAAAATTTAGTCTATTACAAGAGTCATACTTGACAAAATAACATTACTTTAGATTGTTGTCATGTAAAAAATGTTTTTATATATGCTTCATTAAATCATTGTATCTTTAAATTTTATGTAATAACAATTTTATCAAAAGTTATTTTAAAAAGAAAAAAAAAGATTGATAATGTGATAATCTGTTGAACTTCATAGAGTTTGATGCATCAGGAGTAAAAATAATAAAGTTCAATAGATAGTAAAACACTTATATGACAGTGAGTAAAAATAATAAAGTTCAGTGGATAGTAAAATACTTATATGACAATTCATTGAACTCTTACAAGATTCAATGTATTACGGACACCTTAGTATCTATTTAACCAATACGTCATGTTTAGCAAATAGTATCAAACATTTTAACTCATCTAATACACAGTTTGTACAAAAAATCCAATCTATTTATTTTAAATAACTTCTAAAATTTCCACTATTCAGGTAAATAACATCCACTTTTCAAGTAAATAACTTATTAAAAGCATTTAGGTGTTATTTCTTTATGGGTAAACAATTAAAATGTAAAACTATACATCGTTCATTTGGACATAATTGCTTTTGAGTTGAGCAAAAATCATAGCTTAGCTAACATTTTACATGTTTGCCTTTATTATTTTTCCTCTCAAACTCCTCCCGTGTTAAACTTGATAGATATTGTAAAATTTGTTTTCATGGATAATAATGTCATTTAGTCTCCTTCATGTAGTTTATTTGATGTAGAAAAGAATTATACCATATGCATACAACGTTTTATCACGAAAGTATTTTAGAATTCAATTCATATAACAACACAACTAATTGAAAGTAATGGACACCTGAAAGGTCTTATCATAGAACTTATATACAAGACAAAGCGATGTTGTACACTTATATTAAGACACGATTTGGTTAGGTTTTCACGATCTTTAAAGACCATACAAATTTCATTTTTAAAAGGAAAAAAAAACTAAATCACCGTTTCCTCATAACGGCTCTCAAGGTTTTTTTTTTTTTTTTTTTTTTTTTTTTTTTTTTTTTTTTGTGACCACAACATCAACCATATTAACTGAAATAATCCACATGGTTTTTTTTGGAATAGGAACTTTCCTAAAACATGTTTTCGAGCCAACTTTTGTTCACCGACTAATCCATGCTAACATGACGCTATCTCTCATGCATTGAAGTCATTGCATACGAATCTCCATGACCACAAGAACTGAATAGTATTAAGACTTAAACATAAGTCAATATGTTATCCACCATATCTGAGATATGTTTTACTAAGTCACCACAACCCAATACATAAATCACACAAAACTATAGATTTTTGAGTGAATGTAGCATCCAATCATTTACGTTCAAGTAATCGACGAAATTTGGACACAATGACTCATCCATATAAATTAACAAATTTTAGCTTAATCCTTAGAAAGTACAGGAAAGGACTAATGATTCACTTGAGATGCCCACAATCTTTTCCACATCCCTCCCTCTCTCACCAATATAATTTATAAATTCGTATTAGGTGTCTGTGTCTTCACACTCATGATATCATGTTACTTTTATATATAATACCAGATCTATCCATGATCCATACATCTTTTAAGCACATGCACCCTATCAATTACATGATCCCTAATCCCTTATTTTATTCTCTTATTTTAACAACTATAATACAACACCTATCTCTTACTCTTTTATTCTTTACCTTAAAGCAATTGAAATGAATTTACATCTAAGCCTAATTACTTTTGTGCTACAAAGCTACATGTAACATGGATGATACCCATTGGTAGTTGACGTTTTTACTCAACTAGGTTGAACAATGAATATGTCACGAATTTAAACGTATTACTATTACACATCCAATGACAAGAATAATGAACACACACACACACCTAGAAACATAAGCTTTCTATGAACTATAACTGCCACTCTCTTACATTTGAATATTTGAAAGAGAGAAGAGCAAAAATACAGATAAAAGAATGTCAAATCATCATACCAATAGAAACTTCTTTTTGGGTTTTTACCACAAGAATAAGCTGCATCCAATCGTTACTTACACAGTTGATATTTGGTCTTTTGAAGCTCAAATGCTAGCTGCAAAATCATTCAAGAAAGATAGATGTAAACATCAGTCATAATAATCTTGTTCGTAATACTGAATACTGAATTAAATCGATAAAAAAATCGAGAAATTTACCTTGATTGTGTTCAAGATGATCCTTCTGATGATGTTCCATGCAATTGAGAAGGTATTTGAAGGTTTCAATCTCGCAAGGGATGGTGAGGCCACCGCTATGATCAAATCCAAATTCCTCTTCAACTTTTTGCAGAAGAACTTTAAAGAGTGGATCACTAAGATAGCTTGTGGGAATGATGAACCTCCGAAGCTCAGGGCCTACATAGACAGCCAAATACCCTCTGGGCACATCGTTTGGTGGATCAGGACTCTGGCATCCGTCTTCAATGTCTGAATCAGAATAAACAGAGTATCCCTTCAACCTCATGGTTATGGCTGGATTAATTCCTCCACCTGGATGATTACCAATACTCATGGGAGGATTGTTATCAGCATCATCATCATTATCGTTTCCTCTTGCCCCAAGTGTCACATGCTGCCATCTTTGGATAATTTCTTTAAGCCTAACAATCTGTCGGATGCCGTTCAGTTTGGTTCCTAAATTTTCATCCATTATCGTAATCCTAAGATCTTCCCTCGCTGAATTGTGAAAAACTTGGGTAGTTAAATAACCGGAGTGCAAAAGTAAACGCCTTATGAATAAGTTAATAGAGACAAACACCAATTTGGAGAAGAGAAATAGATCAAGGTCAACTAAACAGAGTAATGAAACGCAAAATATCGAAAGAAAGTACCCACATGGATTTAACTTAACGTGAAAGAAAAAGATACCGGAAATCAGTTAGATAAGTATAAAAGAAACCTGAAGGTGGTGGCCGGCGGCGGCGGAGGAGGAGGACGATGATCAAGAGCAAGACGCGGTGTTGTTGTTCTTGTAATGGGGTAGAAATAAGTAGAGAGAAACAGAGAGATCTGATTCGTATATGTCCAGATTATTGTTCAGTAATTAGGAACAGAAGGGGAGTTTGATGGGAATGGAACTGAATTGTGGAATCCTTTTACGTTTTTCGGGTACTCCTTTCTTGGACTAACATCATTTCTGCACGCCTACTTACGGGTTTTATGCATCATAAAAATTTGAACTTTTTTTTTTTTTTTTTTTTCCGTGGGTGGAAAGTAAAGCTTGAAATAAATAAATGAAAGGGTATGCTGAGTTGGTATTGCTGACTATATTCTCCTTTGGGTTTTTCAAGAAAAATGTGTTTTGAGACAAAAATATTTATATTTGTTGCATTCCTCGAGTTTGGAGAGGAATAAAAGAAAGAAACCTTAACAATGTTTGTGCATGTTGTCAAGTTGGATAAGTAAAACTTAAAGTCATTTCAATTTTGTTTTGTGTTTTTAAAGAACCGTGAAAGATTATTATTTTTTTCTTCTATATTAGTGACCTGGTTTAAACTCAAATAAATCAAAAACCCCATAATATGTTTAGGGAAAATCTCTAGTACGTAATTTTTACCTTATTTATTAAAAAGCAATGATCTTATCATTATTTTTTTTAACATAAAGGACAATAAATCAAATTATTTATATAAAAGAACAGGAAATTCACAATAGTTACATATTTGAAATTTTAGACGCTGACCTTTAGGAAAATCCATATAGGTTCATTAACAATAAACCAATTATTTTTCATAGGACATGGATAATAAAATTAAGGATAATAACTTGAAATGACAACAAACTTTCAATTTTGTTTATATTTAATCATTGAATTTTTTTCGTGCTTGATTCACCTCTTAATTATTTGAAAATATTAACATTTTACCTTAACCGATCATAAAAGTAAAATGTGAACACTTTCAAGTAATTCAGATGATACAACCAGTCATAAAGGTAAATGTGAACACTTTCAAATAATTTAGAGGTAAAACAAATACGAACAAAATTAAGTGACTAAATATGAATAAAATTGAAAGTTTGTTACCATTTTAAGTCATTATCCATTTATGTAATCACCCCCTAGTTTATTTTGCCTATCAGTAACAATTACTTAGATTAATAATTTTGATTTTAAGCACTACGATTTATTTTGTGTTGTGTTTGTAAGGAGTATTACGAAATAGAATACGTACCACATAACTATGTTGTAGCTCAAAACTTTAATCTTAGTCTATGAGATAAACTTTTAACTGTAATTTATTTATTCACCTATTAGTGAAACACCAACCCATAAAGAAAAAAAATAATATGTAGAGTTTCACGAAGGCAAATAGAGATATATACGAGGAATAAAATGAAATATAAGATCGAAAATCAAAAAGAGCACAATGAGAATGTACATATAGAACCAACAAAAAAAAAAAAAATCTAGATGTAAGTAATAACTAGGAAGAAAAGTATTGGCAAAAACAAACTAAAAGTAAAAACAGTGAATACTGGGCGAAATTTCACAAACAATGTAAATGAAGCTAACACCTACACTACTCATGTACTGCTTCACGACTCTGATCTTATGCATCAATACTCTAATAAAATCTTGTGTTGTTGTAAAGAGAAAAACTTCATTCAAATTTAACACCACGTTATATTCACACATCTTTATCATATGTTATCTCTTACTCATACGATTTACAACGACCATCTCCACCATCTGGAGTGAAAATTATCGCCTATGTCCTAAGTAAAATTTTGAAACCACCACAATCTTTTTTCCTTTAGTTTGTATGTAATTGAAGTCGCTCCTACTGCATTTCTAAGTGTTGTTTTTGGTAGCTTATTGTAACACTTAGTTTTGAATCGCTTCATCATTCAGAGACGTAGCCCGATCATCAGTTATCATAAGGCTTAGGGCCTTGGGAAATAAAGGATTTGGTCCTTTTGGATGTGGGTGTTATAGTCTAAGTGATCTGGGTGTTAGTTTTGTTTCGGAGTCCAAGGGTATAATCATAATTTGATAACTCGGTCCTTTATGAATTTAGGGTTTTTGTTCGGAAAGTTCTTAGGCAAAGGTGATTTGATAGAAGTATAGGGCTTCTTGTTACCTTTTCGTGGATATAAAGTTCGTTAGAAACAGACTTATAATGAAGAAGTTATGACCTTTAGAAGTTTGGTGGTTTTAAGGTTTAGCCGGGTACGTGGGGCGTACATAGGTATACGCGTAACGTACTAGTGAAAAGGGTAGTACTCAGGGCGTACCTCAGCATATGTTGGGCGTACTGATAAGGATGGTCGTGGGTGCTCTATGGAGTATGCTGGGCGTACTCCAATCAGACCAAAACCCTATTTTAGGTTCTTGGACCTTATTTAAGCTCCTTATCTCATAACCTAACCCTAATATCTTCAACCTCCATCCTTCTAAACCCTAGAAATCGACCCTTTGCCCCCATTTGAGTGATTTTGAGCTTCAAAGTAATTTATATGTGTTTTCAGTGCTTGAGGAGGAAGAAGGAACTTCTTGAAGAGTCATTGCTTGACTTTGAGCTTTTGGATCCATGCTGTGTTCACCTAGATCCAACTTCTGGTGGTATAAAGTCTCAACCTTGACAACTCTTTCTTGTAGATCTAGCTAGGTGACACTTTGTTATGATTTTGGTCCCTTTGTGGTGGTTCTTATGAGTAGAAGTTACTCCAGAACCTTTGAGCTATATTTTTTTGGCCTTTGTTGGGGTTATGGAGTCATAAAGTTTGGATCTTGATGAGTATAAACGTTCCATGCATGATTTGGTAGTCTTTTGGTGAAGCTTTGGACTTAGGGCTTTAATTTGAGTTTCATTAAGTCATTCTAAGTCATAAAGTCATAAAATTTATGACTTAATAAGTTCCTTTGAATCAAATATGGAAGTTTGGACTAAGGTCTTAAGGTATGAAGAAGTTTTTAAGACATTTTGGAGTGATTTCAACCCTTGGAGTTCATCTTTGGTGTTGGGCTTCATTAAGTCATGCACAGGTTTAAAGGCTCCGACTTTATTGATTAAGTCACTTATATTTAGTTATTCTGAGGTTTTGGACGTCTTGGTTTAAGGAATTAAGATGTTTTCTAGGTTGGTTATGGGCACGGTCAATATGCGGGGCAAACCTTCTTCTACGTAGAGCGTACTGAGCTTCTGGTGCGTACACTTAGCGTACCCACTGAATACGAGGGGTGTACTCGGTCAGGAGGGTTTTGGGTTTTGGGCTTCGTGTTGGGCTTCCTTTTGGGCTTAGTTGTTTGAGTTCTCAATAGGCCAAATGAATATAAGTGTTTTGGACTAGGAAATTGGTTGGGCCTGAGGGTAAGGCTCGTGTAAGGGGTTTGGGCGTAATTTGGAAAATTGGTCTATATTTGGGCCTTGGTTGGTTATTTGGTTTTGGGGCTTGCAGGTTGTGATTTTGGGCCTTAGTCTTGGACCAAGCTAGGTCAGGGGGAAAATGGCCTTTTTACCCAAAGTATCAATGTAACATCTGTTTCAGGTATTAAATAATTTCCATAATTTTTAGGGTTTGTGCATGGACTCGACAAGTTGGACGCCCCAACTCATCGAGTAGAGGCCATTTCATGGAAGCGGGGACAGTAACTACTCGAAGAGTCAAAATTATCGACTCAACGAGTAGGAGCTGAAGAGAGAAAACCCTAATTTCAAGGTTTGTACCCTATATAATCTCTTTAAGGACCTTGAGGCTAACCTTCTATCAACCTCCAAACCCCAGGAACGTCTGTGCTAAACCCTAATCCCCATTCTATTTCATTTTGTGAGTTAGCGTGTCTTGTGAAATTTAAGAAGAAGGAGATAGTTAGAAGAAGAAGAAGACTGTAACACCCGTTTATTTATTAGTTAAATAAATAAATGAATGAACGAATGGTAGCCTAAAATAAATAATTATATATGCAGGGTGTTGGGTTCGAGGAGTTAATTGCACATTTTTAGAAGTCGGGGGTTAAAAGTGTGAGTTTGGGACTCATTTATAAATAATTATGAAGACATGGGCTCCGTGGTAATTATCGGGAATTAATTTAAAAAGAAATGAGGTGGAAGGGCTGAATATGTTATAATTGAGACATTGGGGCACTGTTTGGTAAATTGTGTACCTAAGTTGTTAGGGATTTTAATGGTGAGGGTTCAAAGGGTAATTATTATGATTATGAGGGTTTACATGGTAAATATCGGCCCTATTTTGAAAGAAATGAGGAAAGGAGGGACTAATGTTGTTAATATGGATGGAAGTTTGTTAGGAGCGGGATATATGAACCCACATCTCCGATTGCCCTAACGCTGGAAACGCATTGCAGCCGCCAACCCTCTACCACCTTATACCTCCCTCATGTCCAGCGGCCGTTCCCTCCTCCGTCGATATAGCTAACCACCGAGCGAATGACTCCGGCAACAAGCATGAAGGACGAGACTGTGGCTGCTGTTGCTATTTCCCGAATGCTGCTCTTTCTCTTCTTCTCTTTCTTTTGATTCGATCCCCGTTGGGCTGTGACACCGTCACTAAACACCACCGGTGGCTTCGTCGCTGTTACCGCTGCAAGCGTGGCTCGAGTCGCTGCTCTAGCGATCGCAAATGCCGCCGTGAGCATCGTTGTCACTGCCGTTTGGCACATTTTGTTGCTCTGGTCACCATTTTCCATCTCGAAATGTCGTTGTGTTCGTGTGTATGGACTGTCGGTCGAGTAGGGTTGTGAAGAACCACCATGGCAGCCGGCCATGGTGGCTACTATCATCCACAGGTCGATTAATTGTGGCTGCCATCTCAGATTCGCTATTTCCGCCGCCGGGAGCCACCAGGTGGGTGGCTAGTGCGTGAGCCACTCTTCAATGTGCGTGTGTGTGTACATCGTGAGTGGCTGGTTTGGCCGGAATATTAAGAACAACCACCGCCACCACCGTGAGGTGGTGGCTGCCGCCTTGAAACACCAAGTATCATAGTGATTTTGTGTGTTTATTTCGATTATTAGCCTTGTAAAATGTAATCTGAAATTTGAATAATAAAAGGAATTGAAAACCACCACCTTAGGTTGGTGGCTGCCGCCACCGGCCGCCATGTCGGGTGGCGGTGTGTCTTGCCTCGTCAAGTGTGATTCGTTTGGGGTGCTTGAAACCCTAATGGGCCTTTG